GGCTGCAATGTGCTTTTCAAAACGGGGGTGGGGTGGGGTGGAGTGTGACAGGGAGTGTGGGGGGAGAGAGAGTGCTTTTTGAAGCGTGTCAGCACTCTATTTTGCAAGTTCCGAACTCCCGGCCCCCTGCTCATTCATTTACTCACTCAAAGCAAGCTGCAATTTGTTTGCTTTTCTCTGTGGTACGAGCTTTGAAACCGGCACTTCCGCATTCCTGCAGCTGGTCACAACAATGGAGAGGACTGGCCACTTGACAAGGTGATCACTACAGTGCTGCAGGTTGATTCCTGGTACACACTCACAGGGGAGAGTCGTAGCCACTCCACTGTATCTCTTATGCTACTCAGGGAGGTGCAGTACCTGCAGCGGTGTACCCAGGGAGATACAGCGCTGTACGTGCCTTGCCAGTGTAGCTGGTCAGTGAATTACAGCGCTGTGGGCGGCTTTACAGCACTGTAACTCGCAAGTGTAGCCAAGGCCCAAGGCCTTGTTTACACAGCAATTTTCTCACTATGGGGTGTGAAAAAAACATCCCTGAGCACTGCAAGTTTCAGCACTGTAACTTGCCAGTGTAGACAGGGCACCAGCGCTGGTAGCTACTCCCCTCATGGAGGTAGGTTTTTTTTACAGCTCTGCCGTGACTACACAGCCACGTTAAAGCACTGCTGTGGCAGTGCTTTAATGTTGCTAGAGAAGACATACCCTAAATGTTTCAGTCTGGACTGAATGATTCCCAAGGTCACTAGTCACTCTTGAAAATCTTGGCGTTAGCTGCTTAACAGACAGGTGTAGTTCCAGCATCCACTTTCTAAACAATGTTCATTCCAAACAACCTGCCTCCAAGCTCTTTGTTTTTAGCAGCAGCCACTTATCTGGCCTCTCCTGTCTGTCAATGCTGTCTGTGGCCTTTTCTTATGTTTTCATATTTTTGTGTTTATCTCCTTTCCAGACCTTGCCTTAGACAAGTGAGGAATGTGCTGATAGAAACCTGTTCTCTTTTGCAGGAGTGTTATGTCTTCAGGATATGATTATGACATAAGTTTTGGAAAAGAATGTCAAGAACAGTCTGAACCAAAGAGCAGGGGTGCTGATTGGGACAGGGCCGCCCAGAGGGAGGGGCAAGTGGGGCAATTTGCCCCGGGCCCCGCAGGGGCCCCCACGAAAATATAGTATTCTATAGCATTGCAACTTTTTTGTATGGAAGGGGCCCCCGAAATTGCTTTGACCCAGCCCCCTGAATCCTCTGGGCGGCCCTGGATTGGGAAGCCATTAGCAGGTGCTAAGTAAGCAAATGCTTGAAGTTGTTAGAACTCTTCCACTTTAAGAAACAAAATGCACCCTCAAGGAATTCCATTAGAACCTATTATTTATTTTTATTAGTCCTATTAGTAGTAATATAAAGGTTCTTGCAAAGAGATTTGCAGTGCAACCAATGAAATGTTACCTATATACACCAATTTCACATCAGCAGTGGGGCATGGGGGAAGTCTCCCAAATCTATCACTGTTTCCCACATGGGATCAAAATTATTCCAGTTTAAAACAAACAAAAACCCATACATCCTGCTAAAACAGAAGCTGGATTAAAATCAACAAGCAATTGCTGTAGATGGAAATCAGAAAGGGAACATTCATGTGGGCATGGGAGATGAGCCATTTTTAGTGAATAGCATAGATGGAAAATACTTGTCATAGTCATCCATGAGGATCCAATGCAGGTCCTTAGTAGGTAAAAGTACAAGCCCCTTCTATACAAACTAGAGAAGAAACACCTTTATCTTTAAATCTCAGGATGTTACTGTTTCTGGGGCTAACCACTGTAGGCAGACATGATCAGAGTAAAGCCATTACATTATATTACACTACTTATTCCACCTTTCAGAGAGGATAATCCCTCGAATTAAATGGCAAAATGGACACAGTTGAAACCATGCCTTGCCTACCACCTTTCCTGCGATTCACAATTGCCTGATATGCCCATAGGAATTGCTTAAACTGAAAAGTAATATTAGGGAATTTTAGTGTACTTTTATCTTCTCATGCAGTTTAGAACTGGGAAGCAGCTCATCCATAATAAGTTTTGCAGGTCAAATCCTACCATCAATAACAGCTGTGACGTCCCCTTGTTTTCAAGTGCAATGTACAAGTGCAACTGCTTGGAATTTAATAAACAATTCTGATGATAATGTGCAAAAAGGACTAAAAGAATACAGCTCACTGTTCTCTAGTGGGGTTGGCTCTGCATCACAGTTTGCAAAATTTGTGGCCTTAGGGCTTGAGCCATTTCTCATTAAATTTAATGGGAGTTGCATTAGGCCTTTAATTTGTAAAGAGGAGATTAAAAGTGTATAAGGAAGAGAAGAAAGGTGGTCCAATGGTTAGGGCACTGATTTAGGAAACTGGAGTTCAAGTCTCCGCTCTGCCACAAATGTTGAATGATTTTAGGTAAGTCACTCAGCCTCTTTCCTCCCTTCCAGCTGTAAGAATGGTGAATTGTGAGGTACTCAAATACTCCAGCAATGGGAGCCATATAAGTACCTTAGACTAGTGGTCATATTGAGTCCTATACTCTAATGACCCTGTTTATGGGTGGGCATAGGCCTCTCCCGCAGACATCACAGTTGCATGCACCATATGTAAGGGGTCCCCTTACTAACAGTCAGTGGGGGTGTTTTGGTGGGCCAACTCCCTGTGCCAAAAGAAAGGGGAAGGGTCGATGGGAAATCAGGACCCAGAGACTGACAGTTCGCAGGAACAATGGGGAGAGGCCAATGCTCCAGGTCAGCCTGATTGACAGGGCAGGCAGGCTAATCAGGGAGTGAGGAGGCCGGGGGGTCCTGTTCTCCATGTGAGCTGGAATTGCCTGAGTCAGAGAGAGTGGGGCCAAGCTGAGCTAGGGAGCAGAGCTATGTCAGATCCGGAGGGGCCAGAGAAGCAGGTCACTGCTGGAAGCGGAGTCACAGAAGCAGCCCGCAGAGCAGACCTGTCGTGGGAGGAGAGCTGCAGCAACCAGAGCCAGAGAAGCAGCCCACGGAGCTGGAAGCAGAGCATCAGCAGCAGCCGTGCTGAGGCAGAGTGGAGCTGGAGCTGAGACAGAGTGCTGGAGCTGGGGCTGGAGCAGTCTGGAGCCAGGTGTGGTGAGCAGCTGGGGAGAGCAGTGGGCCCAGCGCAGGGAGATGCCCCAGCCAAGTGTCCCTGCAGGCCACACTTGAAGGGGGATCGTAACCCTGATGGGTCGGGGGCAACGCTGGAAAGAAGGGTCCTGCCACCTAGAGCCTGAGAGTGTGTCCACTGCCGGAGCAAGTGTCCAACCCGCAGCATCTCTGCAGCACAGCCAGGGCCTGAGAAGGAGCCTGGGACCTACAAGGAACAGACTGAACTGCCCTGACCTTCCAGAGACACTGTTTGTGATGTTCCCTGCCACAGAGCGGGGTGATGTTTTCCTTTAACTTTTCCCATTTTTCCTTATTGCTTTTTAAATTAATGCTGATTAGATAAATTGTATTTGATTTAAACTGTATGTAATGATCAGTGGGTCAGGAAAGTGTCCAGTGCAGAGAGAGTACCCCAGAGTGGGGACACCCTAGCCCCTGTCCTAGGTGACCACTGATGAATTTTTTTTTAAAGTGAATATGCTCCAACCTTAAAGGTCAGGGGTCAAATTCATTGCAGCTATAAGCAGCTGTAACCCTGGGCTTTAGTTCCACAAAATCTGGATTTGGGGCATTTTTTCCCCATAGTGAAGAGGTCTCAGCAACAATGTTGTGACTTAATTTCTGGACACATCTACACTACGGAAAAGTAGCCGTGTTCATTTCAACCAGCTACCCTGAAGTGAAACTAAAATGTGTCCTATCTACACTAGGATTTTACAGATAAACAATCTTCTTTTAACACTTTTTCTTTCTTTTCCTTAACTGTGGACATGGCATTGGTGGCCCAGTTAACGCAACTGCAGCATGCTTTTTACGCTATCATAGTTTTGAGTCAGGGACTGCATCTGTCTACACACGCATTCAACATGTAGCATGTGAGACAAGCCCATGGGCTGCATTAAAGGCAGTGTATAATTCAGTATATAACACCCTGCTCACTTAGGCTGTTTTCTCAGCAGCTAGGATGGCTCATTGGTCTGTTTAACAAAGAAGGATTTCTGATGTTAGAAAAAATGCTCCCTGCACCCTGTGTTCTTGGGCTAGCAGTAGCCATGGATGCCATTTTTACCCCAGGAATTTATTGTATTAGCTAGGATATCTATAATGGAAAAAAGGGGAAGGCAATTTTAACTTAAGACCCTCTGCTCGGGGGCTAGGAATGAGGAGGTGGAGGGAGACGGGCTGTCTATAAATTAAGGCAGCCAGGGAGGGGTGAAAGGGGATCCTTAATTTTGCCTGTTTGATGCAGTTACAAAGGAGGGGTTGGCCATAAAGAAAATCACTCAAAACTGCGTTACTTAACTTATTCAGAGAAAAGCAGGGGTGGAGGCGGGGTCCCTGGGGCTAGAGGGAAGGGGAGTGGGACGGGCTCCACCCAGCCGGACCCCCTGGCTCAGCACCCGGGTGGCGGGGCGGTTCTAGGGGAACTAATTACATCAGAGGCAGCAGCGGGAGAGGTGCAGGCTCCGCCCAGGACATGACCCAGCCCTAGAGCCGGGCGGTACGCTACGCTACAGGTTCTCGTGATTCCAGGCCCGGCAGGCAGCTCCTCGGGACGCGCCATGGGAGCCGGGCGCTTCTTCCTGCTGCTACTGCTGGGGGTGAGTGCGGAGCAGCGCGGGGGGCGGCTCTCCTGTCCTTTGGGGGGAGGGCAGCGGGCCATGCTGATCGCCGGGCACCAGGGCTCTGCAGAGGGGGCTGCCCGCGTCCCCGCAAGCAGCAGCCGGGAACGCCCAGCCTCCTGCCTCGGCCCATTGACGGGATGGCTGAGCTCCAAGGAGCGTTCCCGCAGGCTCTGGGCGCCGGGTGGGGGACACTGCTTGGGGGACGGAAAAGGGGTTTTGGTTGGGGGGGAAGGCGGAATCCCCTGCGGCCAAGTGTTTCCCGGCTGCCGGTGCAGGCTTTCCTGTGTTTGGGGCGGGGATGGTCTCTCTTGCTTTAAGACAAACTTTTCAAATCTATTGAATAATAGAAACTAACTCCCTGAAATGCCGAGCCGTGTGGAGGGTTGCCAATTTTGGTTGGACCTAATACCCGAGATTTCATCACATGACATAAACTGTAATTAAATATGAGTCATTTAATTTCTGGAGATTCCAGGACTATCCTGGAGTGTTAGTTGGCAACCTTAGTCATGTGGCACGTGGGCTTGGTTTTATAGGGGACCAGGAGAGAAGTTCAAAGTTTGTTTTTTCTCTGTGTCACAGCAAAGGTGTGTCTGGAGCTGGCTTGATTGCTAATCAGAGGAGATCAAACAAGAAATTGGCTTTTCCTAATCCTGGCCTGGCCCTTAATCACAAGTGTTCAGACCATTTCCCCCATCAATTCCTAGCTGCAGAAAACATCAGTGATGTGTGCTAGCCTGCCAGGACGATGCATGTCCTCCCAGCTCCAGGAACTGACCAGAGTCACACCTTTCCCTTTTCACAAGTCAGACACATCTGAGTCACAGAAGCAATGTGGGCTCAGACCAGCAGCCCCCTAAATTTGGTCTCAACCTGCCCCTGGTTCCACTGTGCTGCACTCTGGAATGCCAAACTGGCCCTTTCCTGTGTGTCAGGGGGCGCCTATTATTAGCTCTGTAGCTGTTGCCGTGATAAAAGAAGAACTTCTAAGTTCTCTTGATCCTGTATGTTTCAGAAACAAAAGCTCTTTCAGAGAAAGAGGGGGTTTGATAAAGCATCTATCAGTGGAAGGGGTCAGGGATGGATGGTCCTTGAGTTTTGTTTTAAACGTAAACTCCCTAAATTCTGTTTTTACAGTTCCTCCTACGATTTAGCTTGGCCTTGCTATGCTGCTTGTATTTGCTCTAGAGCAGGGGTTCTCAAGCTGGGGGTTGGGATCCCTCAGGGGGTCACAAGGTTATGACATGGGGGGTCGCGAGCTGTCAGCCTCCACACCAAACCCTGCTTTGCCTCCAGTATTTATAGTGGTGTTAAATATATAAAAAAGTGTTTTTAATTTATAAGGGGGGTTGCACTGAGAGGCTTGCTATGTGAAAGGGGTCACCAGTACAAAAGTTTGAGAACCACTGCTGTAGAGGCTCCAAGTAGGGATCAGGAACTCCTTTTGCTCTGCTCTGTATAGCATACATATAACAAAAGGCAGGTCTGTGCCCCAAAGAGCTTACAATCTAAATATGTAATGAGACAAATACATGCATACAGATGGAGGAGCACAGGATGACAGGGGGAGACAATTTTTCTATCAAACTAGCTACTGTCTCCCAAGGAGGTGAATTAACTACCCTTCCTGTAGGAAGTGTCTACACTGAAGCATAGACCAGCCCCAAGACAGACTGAGTCCAGTGTGCTATAGGAAGGCTGTGTTGGAGCTGGGAATTAAACCCAGTCTCCTGAATCCTAGGCTAGAGCACTAACTCCTGGGCCATCCTTTCTCTTGGAAATCAAAATCATGAGTCATTGACAAATTGCTAAACAGCTCTGTGCCTCGGTTTACCTAATGTAAAGTAGGGATTCATATTCATCTCCTTGCTTAGGATGTTGAAAGGATTTTTAATTAATGTGTTTTTTAAAGTCAACATGTAGATCCTCAGGAGAAAGGTACTACTGAAGTGTGTATTTACTATTTATTTTATTTAGTAACAAATTTAATTTTCTTTTGCTAGGGATCCAGCTTCTCAGCATGTGTTATTGGCCTGAGATGTGGGTGTACTGTATATTTAGTACAAAAAGGCAGGGAGAAGTGTTATAGGTAACCTATAAAAAGGGGAAAATTGGGGAGTTGCCCCTTTTTGCTTCTTTATGTTGTGTGAAGGTGGCCTGAAAGTTGTGATATGGGTTTTTTCTCTTGTAATACTCTGCCTTGTTTTTTCATGCTGGAAATTGAGGTCCTTGGTAGGCTGGAAGACTGGGAAACTAAAGCAATGGTAATGTGAACGAATAGTCAAAGAGATGTGGAGTTCTAGTCACACCGTCAAACACTTTCATTTTGCTTTTTTTTGTTTAACGTTTATTTAACTTGAGTTAATGCTGTTGCTCCTTCTGCTGAGGTAATAGAGCACACAATAGACATGCTCTTAGGCCTGCCCAGTGATCCTGCAAAATCAAGAAAGACCAAACTTGATATTCCTGACTCTTCCAGAGTTGGGGGAGGGGAGGAAATCTTAAAACCCCAAAACTCCTTTCAGGCTTCCTTTATACGCCATAAAGGGCACAGGCCTAATCTTAAAAAAATGATCTTTTGCAGGTCACCTTTAGGCATTCTTGCAAAAACAAAGCCCACTTTGAGATTACAGTGTGGTGGTTTTTTTGGTGGTGGTTTTTTAATATATTCTGTTGCTTGCTTTACATTGCTCATGCCCCCATCATGCTGTTTTACCCTTACTGAACCATTGCAGGTACTTGTGACTTGAAAACTTAGCAAGAGGGAATTTGTTTCTCCTCTATTTCTGATTGAGTTATTCTAAAGACTTCAACATGTCCTTAGGCCTCTCACTGAGAATGTACAATGTCATGGGGGGTTTGTTCATTCGACATATTGACGTGTATTTTCCATAGGTTGAATCATCAGCAATATCTGAGAGTAGAGCTGAGCCAAGCAGTCGCAACTGTGGTGATGGAAAATATCTGCATCAAGGCTACTGCTGTAAATACTGTCCTGCTGGTAAGCACTTAGTGATCTGTAGTTCACTTGGCTAACAAAGCATTTTTCAGAGACCATGTGTGTACTGGTTGGTTTTTATGCTATAAGATAAAAACAATGAGAGAACAATACATATTTGCAAAAGCCAGTGAGGGCCATTTTATGCTGTTCCTCCTCCTATTCAGCGATGCAGCTCACTTTATAATGGTGTCCAATTTTTCACAAAATAGGGTGTGCCTGGGTGACCTTGGCAGTCGGTCAGGAAACGTGGGCATGCTATAAAAGGCAGAGTCTAAGTCAATACTAAAGGAAGCTGTTATAGCTTTGCAGGGTGGATAAAAACCAATGTGTTTTTTTAATCAGGGTTTTTTTTTTTTATTTAAATTGATTTTTGGATAGGTTTTTTCCTCAAAAAGCATTTTATCTAAAGATAGTTTTAATTAAGATACATTATAGCTCAAAGATCTCTCATCATGGAATGGGTATTATAAATTCTAATTCTATAGTATGAGACCATATATTCATGTAATGTTTAAGAAAAGTTTTGTAAATGAGTTCCAATAGTTCATGGATTAGGGACCCAATCTTATGGGGTTCCACAGACTTCTGTATAGATTATTTAGGTTAATCTTTCTATCTACCCAATGGGCCTCTGTGCTCAGTCTAGAAGATCCCATCAGAGATGCTTAGTTTTGCAGTTCTCAAACTGTGGATTTGTGTCAGAAGTAACATGCTTGTTAACAGCAAAAAGTATTTTAAATAAATAAATAATATCTAGAGGTGAGAACTAACAGACCTCAACTCTATTATCCCTGTGCAAATTTGTGTATACAGAGTCAATCCCTTACCTCTCTCTAAAAGTGCAAAGTTTCAAAAAGTTCAATGAATAAAAGATTGTAGGGGGCAGAATAGATCTGGAAAGGAAAAGTCTGGAGATAAATGTGAGAAGCGAGGGACATATGCTTGTTTTGTTAAAATATTATGTGTTTGCTGTTGAAGAAAAAAATCCGGAATACTTAATGTTGTTGTTTTTTAGTTAAATAAAACAATTTAAATGTCTGTCTGATGATGTTCTCCTCCTAATACAACATGGCAAGAAAATCCTCCAAATATTAATGATTAACCTGTTGAATTGGAGGTAGTTCACTCCCAATGACTTCATAAATATCTGCTTCAATTACGTTTGGTAAATGAAATAACCAAACAATCATTTCTTTTCTGATATAGTTGTAAAACTAATCTGAAAAGTTTTCAAAATAAATCACTGTTTTAAAGTGTATAGTATGTACCTTCTAAAAATGAAACCTACATCTATCTCTGAGTTGTGAAGAATATGTATTAAGGTTATAACAATCAACAAGAATGCACTTCTATGAAGAAAACCATGATTAAATAGTCTTCCTGACTAGTGATTTAAACCAACTTTGATTTAAATCAAATTCACCCTGCAGCTTTGTCTGAACTCTTGAAAACTGAGCCAATGCCCTGACCACACATTTTATTCCCCCAGCATCACCTAATTGTAATAATGCTTGTCAGATACAAACACTCAATACCACCACTCAGCAGAAATTGTATGTATTTTAAATCTACATGCAAAACTTTCTTTATTTTGTCAACTATATGCATGTCCATCTTGGAGATGGGTGTAAAATTAATTCATTCTTTATAGGGCCATTTTCACTTAGCTTTGTGGCAAGCTGCAGTCTATCCTCAGTTTGTTATAATCTCATGAGGGTTTCCCTGTGGATTTCTTAAATCTTGTGAGTGAATTTAGTACTCAAGTATCAAATTCACCCTTGCACAGAGACCTTAAACAAGGCATATACATTATTTGAATGTGACTTGAGCCCTGTTTTAAGGACTTAGGCCATGATTGTGCAGTTGATAGCAGATGGGCATAGCGGCCTATCTGAGTGCTCTCCAAAGGCTCAACAGTTCACCCACATGGTATGAACCGCAAGAGCGGAGCCACAAGTAAGATTTAAGTGCAGTGTAGGTCTCATGTGGGATGGATTTCACTCAAAGTGAGGAGGTAATGACACTGGTTTCAGAGAGAGACAATGTTAGCCAGAGCTGTATGAGCTCCCCTACACACTATCTACCACATCAGTCTCACCTAGGGTGACCAGATGTCCCGATTTTATAGGGACAGTCCCGATATTTGGGGATTTTTCTTATATAGGCTCCTATTACCCCCCCACCCCCTGTCCTGATTTTTCACACTTGCTGTCTGGTCACCCTAGTCTCACCTGAGGCACTTTCACTAATCTATTTCTAGCCTGTTCTGAGCACAAACTGTTAGTTGTGCTGAACTATAACAAACTGCTTATTAACAAATAGGGATGTGCATACGTGTCCAAATAGAACTAAGAAAAACATTGAAACAATTATTTTATTGCTAAAACCTTCCATTTAAAAATAAAATACAGACATCTTTATAAGTAGAGCATATCAGAAAAATGACAAAAACACAGGGAAATATTATTGATGGAAACTTTTGTAAAACATTTTCCCCTCTATCTATAGAGGAGGAAAAACCCCAAGCCTATTGGCCTCTTATTACTAGTTATTTACTTGTTTTTCTAATGTTATCTGGCCGCTGACGTCTAAGTGTTCTTCCTGGTTTTGTTGCGTATACTTAATCTCATTCAGCTCCACTCCTTGCAAGGAGTGGCTGAAAGGAGTCATGTTGCAGTACGCTTGAATCCAGTTAACTGTATCCTAATACTACTTGAGATATACAGCTATAGTGTTGAATTTCTGCTTCTCCCTTTATACAGGCACTTATGTTAGTGAACACTGCAAGGTTCCACATACTGAAGGAATTTGTTACCCTTGCACAGATGGAGAGGATTATACTGCTCATGCAAATGGCCTAGACGAATGCATACGATGTAAACTGTGCAAAGAAGGTATAGTACAAAGCTCAGGCTGATCTGTAAATATGTTTGGGTTGCTGTGGGCAAAAGCTTTGATATTCTTTGTTCCGCAGAAAAATCTGTTGCCTCAGTCCCATGGCTTATTTTCACAGATTTAAGAACACTTACACTTTTTTTTTTAAATAACTTATGCTTGGTAGAAAAGAAATCACAAATTCAGTTTGATTACATATGTAACTTGTATGATTCTTATTTTTCTCAGATCAAGTAACTGTGAGCACCTGCACTTCGACGAGAAATACTGAATGTCAGTGCAAGCCAGGCTATTTCTGTCCTACTCTAGGCTGTGAGATGTGTTACAGATGCAAGTCAAAGTATGTACAATAACTGATTTAGGCAGTTGTCTTCCATATAGTACAGTAAAATGTAGAACCTAGCTCCTCTAAATGCTTACCCACATGTTTACCTTTCGACACGTGAATAATCCCATTGAAGTCAATGGGGTTGCTCGTGTTTGAAGTTAAACGCATGCCTGAGTGTTTGTAGGATCAGTGCCTAGAACTGCATGTATATAAGTATTGCTGTTCTGTTGTGATGCTTCTGCCTGGACACAAATGTTCCCAACGTGTTTCCTGATTCCTTCACCTGCCACATTGAATAGACTTTGGAGGGCTACCAGTTAGGACAGCTAATGTCAGTAGAGCTACCCAGAATCTTATAAGATGGGACCAACTATTGAAGGAGACTAATTATGTGCGTGACTACTTAACACTTCCTCTCAGTATTATTTCCCTTTGAATAAATATTTGTGTACATTAATCTCTCCCCATGGACTTCTGTGTTTTTGCTGTGCTGCCACATAATCTTCTAGCATCCTTTATTCTTCATCTGTTTTTTCAAGTACTATTTCTTAATGATTGGTGAGAACAGACTACTTTTTTTTAATTTGCACATTCTGTCCATGTATATAAGTTATTCCTGTGAGAGTAGGAGTGAGCACGAGTACAGATTTGATTTTGTAACATAATTCTATTTTTATCATCAATTTTAGGTGCCCAGAAGGGAAAGAAATTGTACAAAAATGCAATGCTACAGTTGACCTGGAGTGTGGCCATCCTCCCATAGGTACAGTATAAACTATGCTTAGGGAGCTCTGATGACTTTCTGACTCTTCGTAGGTAATTCAAAAGCAGATTATAAAAGTGAGGCTTTGAAATCCTACTTTTAAGTGTTTGACGAGCCTATGTAATTCACACTGGCAGCCGCTAGATGGAGACAAAGACTCTCCAAGTGTGGGTTGTGTAACCAACCAATATTTGTGGTGATATTTAAACTAGTACAGGGGACTTGTCTTTGTAGAAAGGATTACATAGTGGACACGCCTTTCCAAGGTGTCACTTTAACACAGTTGAAAGCTATAGGTAGTATGCCTTTCAAATACTCAGTTAAATATTAAAACCTGAAAAATATCTGTTTTTTGGCATAAATCTGAAAAGATCAAATGCATTGAATTTATTTCCCCCTGTAGATTCCCTTCTTCTAGCTTTTAATTTGCACTGATACACACCAGCACCTAGATACTCTAATGGTGTATTAATATCTGAGAGATGGTGGTTTTCTTGGGGCAGAGACTAGAGGTGTCACTGTAACAAACTGCTGAATTTCACAGGCATTAGTCTATATTGTTATCTGCAGCATCAACATTCTTACACTGCAAAAACAACTGTCTTATGGGTGGCTTTTGTATTTCAAGCTTGCTTGCTTTTTTTTGCAGGGACTGCGACTACTACAGGTTGTATTGCTGGGGTCATCGTGTTCATTGCTTTTGTGGCTGGGTGCCTTCTTTTATTTAAGAAAAGGATATCATATAATAAAACAAATAAAGGTAATTAAAATTCCTTTCCATGGATAACCTGAGATACACAGAGACTCAAGTTTCCAAAGCTAAACGAAGTAAGAACTGAGGTTGTCCTTATGGCTTCTGTCCGCCCTTGCTCCAAGCCTTTGCACTGCTCCCAGAAATGGCTGGCATATTCCTGCGGCCCCTGGGGAGGGGGTCTCCATGCGCTGCCCCTGTCCCAAGAGCTGACTCTGCAGCTCCCATTGGTCGGGAACTGTGGCCAATGGGAGCTTCGGGAGTGGTGCCTGTGGGCAGCAGCGCGTGAAGACCCACTGGGCCCCCCCGCCTAGGAGCCGCTGCCAGAGGGGTGTGCCAATCGCTTTTGGGAGCCGCCCGAGGTAAGTGCTGCACCCCTGCCCCACCTAGAGCCTGCACCCCAACCCCTGCCCCACCTAGAGCCTGCACCCCACCCCCCTGCCCCACCTAGAGCCTGCACCCACACCCAAACTCCTTCCCAGATCCCGACCCCACACCCTCTCCTGCCCCCCTGCCCCAGCCGAGCCCGCACCCAAAGTCCCTCCCAGAGCTTGCACCCCACAGCCCCTCCTGCACTCCAACCCCCAGCCTAGAGCCTGCATCCCAACTCCCTCCCAGAGCTCGACCCTGCACCCCCTCCCACACTCCAACTCCCTGCCCCAGCCTGGTGAAAGTGAGTGAGGATGGCGGAGATCAAGCGACGGAGGGAGGGGGGCTGGAGTGAGCAGGGGGCGAGGCCTTGGAGAAGGGGCAGGACGGGTGAGGTCTCAGGAGAGAGACAGGGCAAAGGTCTTTGGGTTTGTGCAATTAGATAGTTGGCAACCCTACCGGGCAGGCATATAGAAGCCCAGGTCGTGCTGGAAGAGCGCGCCCAGCCAGCACAGCTGGCAGCTCACTGGGCACCAGCCAGCACAGGTGCAGCACTGCCCAAATGTCAGATGGACCGCGTCCGCGCAGGCGTGGCTTGTGTGTGCTTGGGGGCCCATTGACTGTTCTGCCCTGGGACCCAGAATTGCTGTCAGCGAGCCTGCTTCCATCCTAGCTGCATCTACAGCAGGAGTTTTGGTTGACCTAATTATGTTGCACAGGGCATGACATTTTTCACAGCCCTGAGTGATCTAGCTAGGTTGACCTAAGTTTTAGCTGTAAACCAGGTCTCTGACTAGCTTTTGGAACTGAGGCCTAAAAAATGTTAAAGATCATAAACTCTGAATAGATTAAGTGGAACTAGACCCCAAATGGAACTCTTGGTTAATATCTATCTAGTATGTACAGTATGCCTCATCCATTTGTGCTCCAGTAGATTTGGCCAGAAGGGAGTCCTTCAGTTCCTTGAACTTGGTAACCTGTAGAGCAGGCTGACTACATTGAAACTTCTGGTTGAGATTGAGAATCTGTGTCAGAGCGTTATGCAGTGTAACCAATGTACTAATTCAGCTATATTTAAACAATATAACTTCTTAGAGAGAGTTTAATTTATATTCTTCATCTGTTTCAGAAAACAAAGATACAGAAAAAGATGTGGTAAGTTTCCTTTGGACACATGCCATTTTTTCTTTTACCTGTATGTTAGTTTCAATTTAATTAATTTTTTTTATGCAATTATCTGTTTAACTATAGATGATACACACCTTAGTCACTTTCTCTGCCCTGATTGCTGTTGTATATTGGGACACTTTTCTTCACTTCATACAAAAAAAACCAAAACTTTTAGGTCATCTAGTTCACCTCCTGTTAATGTTGGATTGTTCTCTACAATATAATGTATTCTTTAGTGTCTTGTTTAATTTCAAATGCCTGATATGATGGCGCTTCCAGTACTTCTCTTGGAAGAATATTTCAGAGCCGTAATACGTCTCTATCAGGAAGCTTTTTCCTGGTAACCTAACTTTTTCATTCATTTTTTTTAACTACATACCATTATTTCTAGTTATATCACCTTGTAATGTCCTAAATAGTTCCGCTTACATATTAGCGTTTACACTCTTCAACTGTATATCAATAGTTATATCCTTCCCCTAGTACCCAATCATTAGTCCGTGTTTAGCTTCTTTCTCTCACTTTAAAAATAACTTGTGTTCTTACATGAGTAGTTCCATTTGAGGTTGATAGAACTCATAAAGTGACCAAGATTTTTACCTTAATCTCTGTTCATAAATCAGTCCCTGTATGGGGTCCTGATCCATGCTTGGTGTTTGGAGACACTGTCACAATACAAATAAATGATAGCCCCATCATTTTTGCTGCTCTCCTTGGAACACTGCAATTGTAAATATCACTGTGATATTGAGATGCTAAGAACTGCACATCTTACTTAAAGACAACCTGCTTAAGGAAAATAGTAATTTGTAGGGAATTTTGGCAAAATCTTCAGTTTCTCAGTTAAGTATGTAAGGCGCTCCAATTTTTGTATTTGGATTAAAGTGTAATACTAGATATAATTGGAAGGCACAGATAAGAGTGTCTGTTACCTTTTTAATACAGACTTTTACTTAAATAATAGTAAGTAGAGAGACGGTTCAAAGACATTTGTTTATTAACTGCTGTTCCTAGGACAAGTTTAAAAAAGAAAAAAAACCAAAACTCAATTCTGCAAGATGCCTTAGGGAAGTCGGTCACTTTAAACTGTGTGTGAAACTTGAGGCCCATAGTATGTGGCTCAACTATCTGAGCACCCACCTGTGTTTTGTCATTGTTTTTGTTCTGAACTTGCTTAGCAAAGCAATAGGTTACAATAAAGATGCAGAGAGAGTACAATCGGTTTAAACTGGGGTAGTGGTAAGAGCTGGGGAAGTATTCTGCTCAGGTTCTCACAAGCCCAGAGCAGATCTCTCTGTTAAAATGATCAGCAGTGAAATAGTTAATGTTTACATTTTTAAATGCAGTTAAACTTCAGAGTTAATACGAAATGTGACTAGCTCACCTCCCTGCCCCTCAGCCTACTTGGCATGGGGTCGGTTATATGGATGGAGAGTGCAGTTTAGTGCTAAGGGAGTTATTGTAGCCTTTTTCTTAAAAACACCAAAATCCTATTTTCAACAGATGTGGCTCTCCCCTTGCTTAACTACAGAAGCTCACATGTAACTTCTTTGCTGTTCTGTAAAGGTCTAGTGATTAAAGCTGCTCCTGTTTGTCACTTGTTAACACTTCAGCTTCTACATTTTTATTTGGGATGTCTTGCTCGCAATGAGACACTAAGTATGAAATGTTCTTCCACTGCAAGGTTCTTGAGAGCTTGCCTACAAAGTTATGTATGCTTTAATAGAGCACTCTTAATTAGCACTCTTTAATAGGTCACTCTTATTCCTTACAGGAGTCTGAGGATAGCACTGAAATTTTCTTTGCACCAGAAATGGAGAATGCTAACGCTAGTGCATCCATTTTAGAGATCCAAAACTCTGTTCAGAGTCCACCAGTTTTAGCAGTTAATAGTCCTGATTCTGCACTAAGAAATGCGTTGCCTGAGGATACCAGTGTTGCCTTTTCTGAAAGAAGTGGCCTACTAAATAGTGAAAACAACTCATGGGAAGAGTCTTACCACAGGACTGCAGGATATTCAGCACCAGTAAAGCCTCCAGACAAGCCCAATTTTGTCGTTCACCCTGGACAGTCAAATGGTGGGATGTCCGTATCCCGGATGGTAAGTGGGAAATGCTCAGTGTGTCATGAAATCTGTTGTGTAATCTCATGGAAGCAATGTAATAGCTGCTTCTTTTAACATCTAGAGCAGGCCTGCACAACTCGTAAAGTGGCGAGGGCCGTATTACTCCAAAGAAAATAGCTGAGGGCCGTAACCCCCTGAGCGCCGCCAACCCCCCCGCCCCCAGCACCGCCCGCCCCACAGAAACAAACCCTCCTTCCCCAGCGCTGCCCCACCGAAACAGCAATATTGAACCTCAGTAATATGTTATAGCGGGCCCCTAAGGTAGTATAATTAAGGTAAAAGAAAAATGTCTTTTTGCTAGAAGTAGAATAAGATCCCCCACACACACACACACACTTTGTAATTAATTGCCCTGTTGAATGAATGAGGTGTGAATGAGGAAGGTGTGGAAGGCAGGCACCTCCAGACAGCTGCAACCCTTGGAGAGGGCAGGGCCAGCTCTAGGATTTTTGCCGCCCCAAGCAAAAAAATGTTTGGCCGCCTCCCCTTTCTTTTTCGTGCCCCTCTGCCCCTGGCCTCACCCCAACTCCACCCTTCCAAACCCCTTCCCCAAATCCCCAGCACTGCCTCCTCCCCCGGCGTGCCACATTTCACCCGCCCCCCATTGCTTCCTGCGGGCCCCCCGCGACCTCCCGCCCTAGCTCCCCCAGGCGCGCCACCGCTCCGCTTCTCCCCCCTCCCTCTCAGGTGAGGGAGGGCGGAGAAGTGGAGCAGCGGCATGTTCAGGGGAGCCGGTGGAGCAGAGGTGAGCTAGGGTGAGGGGGAGCAGGAAGTAACGGGGGGGTAGAGGAACCACTCCCCGCTCCAGCTCACCTCCCCCGAGCACCCCGACGCTTGGCTTCTCCTCCCTCCCAGCCTTGCAGCGTGAAACAGCATGGCAAGCCTGGGAGGGAGGGGGGAGAAGCAGAGCAGCAGCGGTGCACTCAGGGGAGCAGGCAGGAGCAGGCGACAGCAGAGCGGAGGCGAGCTGGGGCGGCAAGGGCACTTTTTCCCCATGCTCCGGGTCGGCACCTATGATGGCCAGCGCCAGAATGCCGCACCTAGAAATGTGCTTGTTTTGCTGTTGCCTGGAGCCGGCCCTGGGAAAGGGGATGGGAGCCAGACCAGATCAGTAGAACAGGTCAGCCACTGACTCACCACTGGCCTCCTCAGCCCCCGGCTCGCTTACTCACCCTTCG